AGATTAAATTATATTTGAAAATGGAAATTATCGGATTTCAAGGGATAATTAATTTTTTTATTTTAAAAATTATGATTGTTTTTTAGTTAATTCAAATCGAACATATTTTTTTAACCCTAAACGATCCGATTCTGTTAGAATGATATTCAGACAGAATATATATTCTGATTGAATGAACATTTTGAAAAATAACAAATATTTGAACCGATGAGTTGAAGAATAATAACAAAAATTACATTAATTCTTATAGAATTCGGGTAACAATTATTAAGAATTACATTTATTGTTAAAGAATAAAACTAAAAAAACTTTCAAATCAGGAAAGAAAACATCAAAATCTAACAAAGACATTAATATATTCTAAAAGAATATTGTTGTTTAAAAACACTTTCAATTTTGTATTCCGTTCTTCAAGCATCAATTTCTGTGAAAACAAAACCAAATTGTAGTTTAGAATCCAATAATGCATTAGCAGATGAAAAATAAAAAACTAAATTCATTTGGAAAAATATGTGGACTTATGAAATGCACCAAAACCAATAACCAAGAATTGTAGAACATGCATAAATCAGTGAGAAAATATTCATATTACATTCCAACATAATTAGAATTTGTGATTCCATTCCAGTAGAGTTGGAATTCAAAATGCAATTACCGTATGTATTCTGTTGGAATTAAATCATAAGTTTTACTTCACCTGATCATTATGTAAAAAAAATTCAAATATTTAATTACCTCACCTCACATTATTCATATTGTAGTATAAATTCTACAATCAAATCCATTATCACATTACCTGTTATCAATTCAGCTTGCAAAGGTAAAAACCAATAAATCATATAATGTATTACTCAAAAAAAAAAAAAAAAAAAAAAAAAAAAAAAAAAAAAACAATTAGGCTTCAAGTATATGAAGCTAAGAATTTCAACGCACAATTCAAATTGAATGAACATTTGGAAAAATAACAAATAACAATCACTTACTTTTGCACTCCTAAATGATGCATATTTTCAGCATCAGTAAATTTCTTCAATTTCTCATAATAAAGAGCATAGGCCTAGTAAAATAGTGGCCTCTTTTTCCCAATGTGATTCGCCTTCATGTTCTCCAGAACATCACCAGGGTGATCAACAAAATCCAACTTCACATACATAACAATAACATAAATATTAAATATGAATGATTTTTCAATCTAAGCACAGTTACTACAAGAAAACAGATTTTAATTTGTGACAAGGAACTGCAAGAAAAATAGATTTAGGGTTTTGTGCTTACCGAAGCAATGGGAGAAGAGGATATGAGCCATTGTAGGTTTTGATATCACAATCAATGAAGAAAATAGATTTTCATTGTTGGTGTTGGAGTTATTCGCCATATTTGGACCTTCAGGTGAAGTATGTGCATGTGGGAACGTTTGTCAGGCAGGGAGACCTAAACAATTAAATTGACAAAAAAAAAATTCAAAAACACAAATTTAGATTAAGGGATCGAACAACATACCAATTTTGAGGAATCGAGAACTTACCTGGGAGAAATCGATGATGGCTAAGAGAATAGGGTCGGCTGAATCGATGAAGCACACAGTCAAATTGAGTCCCGATCTTGACGATGGCGATAATTAAATTCCTTCCTCGCACAACCATCGCCTCCACCAATGCCCGGTTCTCCATTTCCTACCTTAAAGCCTAAATTCCCATGGCATCGATCCGGTGATGATTCAAAAACCAAATCACGATTTTTGCTCTTTTGTTGATTTAAACCAAATCGAACGAGAAAAAAGAGTGAGAGAGAGAGAGAGAGAGAGAGAACGACAACAATCGTAGCTTGAAGATGTACGGTGGGTTGTAGTGCTTCAATCATAGCTTCAAAGGAGAGAGGATGGAAACGGGAGGGATGCGATTTTATGGGTGTCGATGGAAGAGACAATAGGGTTTAAAATAAACTAATTTGTCTAAATTAAAGGATAGATGATTTAATTAATTATTTATTAAAATTAAATAATATTTGGCTCATATTAATTCCTACATCCACACAATATTTGTACGTCCACATTTGCACATACCTCTCTCTCTCTCTCTCTCTCTCTCTATATATATATATATATATATATATATATATATATATATATATATATATAGAGAGAGAGAGAGAGAGAGAGAGAAATGATCATTTGAGAATTCATAGATTCCCAAGAACCTCATAACTAATTCTACACCATAATATATATATATATATATATATATACACACACACACATATATATATATATATATAGAGAGAGAGTTAGATTCAAATGATTTCACTATCTATTGTGTGCATGTATGATTGATTCTGGACCAATCATTTTAGTTATTTGAAGAAAATAATTAATGCATATTAAATGTTGAAGATGTAATTAATATCCATTATATCTTCAACATCTAATATGCATTAATTAATTTCTTAAAATAACTAAAATGATTGATCCATAATCAATCATACATGCACACAATAGATAGTGAAAACAAAATAACCTAACCACATATATATATATATATATATATATATATGAGAAATCTGCGAAAAAATCTCAAAGTTTTGCCCCAATTTATGATTTAGTCCTAAATTAAATTTCACTTATGAAAAATGACATATTACCAACTATTACACTCAGTTTAGCCTTACGAACCGATAACCCTTGTATTAGCTGGTTACCCCAGCTGACTGTCCTTATCACCCTCCATTAACCTCTCGGTCATCCACTCCTCCTTTGTAAAAACCCTTTCTTACTCTCCATCGAAGCAAAAATCTACCTGAGAAGAATCAAAGGTAAGATAATCCACGTGGTCCTCCAATATCTTATTTCCCTTATAATATTTGATTAATTTTTGTTTTGTAGTAATAATGAAGGTAGTAGATGACTTGGATACCATTGACGTGGAAGTGGATGAGTTTTTCAAACACAAACAAAGAAGTCGATGCAAATATGAGTTTCTAAACACTCTCATAGACGAAGCGCTTGATGAATGCACCATACCTGAGATAAACCTAAATGGTTTTGAAGGAATGTCGGAAGATGAAGCACCACAGGAGAAGCAAAGTGATAGTGAGGGTGACAATGTAGACAAGTTGCAATTTCAATACTCAACCCATGATCCGAAGGTGAAATGGAACAATATGAAGCCAATTCTTTGGGAGAGGTATGAATCATCACATCAACTAAAGCTTTGTTTGACAAATTACTCTATAAGTAGGGGTTATCCAATTAGGTTCAAGAAATGTGATAGTGTAAAGCTCGTGGTTGTATGTGCAAGTGACCTTGAGAAATTGCAATATCCCTTTGTTGTAAGGGCCTCATTGATGAGCCCTGAAAGATCATTCCAAATCAAAAAACTGGTTGAGCAACATACCTATGTTAGGAATTTATGTAGTGCTAATCTTATGGATCCCACATAGATAGCTAGGTGATTTCTGAAGGAGATGATTAGGAAGCTAAATATGAAATGTAGGGAAATGCAAGCTATTATTCAAAGCAGGTTCCATTTCAAGGTTTCATGGCCAAAATGTTATAGAGAAAAGTTTAGGGCAATTTCTTTAATAGATGGAAAGTTGAGTGATCACTATGTAAAAGTATGGGATTATGGACAAGAGTTGATGAGGTCCAATCCAGGGAGTACAATTCAAATACCTATCAGTGTAAACCCTGATAAAACTACTATTTTCCATAAAATGTATACATGTTTTAAGGCTATCAAAGGATGGAAAGTTGGTTGTCGAAGAGTTATAGGGCTTGATGGGAGTTTTTTGAAGGGACAATGTAAAGGTGAGCTACTAACTGCCATAGGGAGGGATGCAAATAACCATGTGTATCCCATTGCTTGGGCAGTAATTGAAATTGAGAACAAGCCCACCTAGCAGTGGTTCTTGGAACTATTACATGATGACCTGGAATTACAAGGAGGCTTGGATTTGTGTGTTATTTCTGATTAACATAAGGTAATGTTTTCGATTATCTCATTTTTCATTTCATTTATACATATATCAAGCAGTTGCTAAAGAAAATTTTTAATGTAATTGATAGGGTCTTTTGGAAGTTGTAAAGGGTGTAATGCCACATGTGGAACACAAACTATGTGCAAGACATACATATGAAAATTTCAGAAAGGTCTTCAGTGGTATAGAGTTCAAGAATATGTTTTGGACAGTTGCCAAGTCAACTGTTGAGGGAGACTTCAAATTGAATATGGAGAAGATCATAGAAGTCATTCCTGCTGCTTATGATCATTTGATGGCAATGAAGCCTAAATCTTGGTGGAGGGCATTTTTTAAAGGTGGAATGGCAAGAGTGTTTTAATTCCATTATATATGACACCATAAGGAAGCCTTTGTTGGCTATGCTTGAGGAGATTAGACTATATATGATGGAAATGTTATTTAACTTGAAGCAAGAAGCACGTAATGGGTTAATGATGTGTGTTCAGGATCTATTAAGAAAATAGATGAGTTTGGTTTTGCTATCAAGTAAGTATTATAAAATTAAGACAATGTATGAGTTTAGTATTGATATCAATATGTATACTAATTAAAAATGTTAATGTTTTTGTAGGACTTGGTATGTTCATCCTACTAGTTTAAATGCTTTTGAAGTGAGAAATGGCTTCCACTCATATGGAGTGAACTTAGAGGGGATGTATTGTATATGCAGACTCTGGGAGTTATCTGGGATCCGCTGTGTCCATGCCCAAGCAACCATAATTTACACACAACAAGATCCAGCTAGATTCATCAGCACATGGTTTGGTAAGGACAAGTTTTTAGCTACTTATGAATCTAACACCCTTCCTGTTAATGGCAGTAATACATAGGAACCAACACCTTACACCAAACCACTACCACCTGTTGAAAGAAGGATGCCAGGAAGGCCTTGTATGAAAAGGAAAAGTCATATCTCCGAGCATGAAGACATGTTCTCCCAAGTCTCCTCTAAGGGTAGAACTGTCCAATGTCAGAATTGAATGCAAATGGGGCAAAATAAAGTGTCTTGCAAGAATCCCTCAGTCAAACCAACACCAAAGCCTAAGAATAAAATAGGAAGGCTAAGGTTGAATCTAGAATTGACCAATTGCACAAGACTTGGGAGAAGTGGTGGAAGAGGTGGTAGAAGAGGGGGTAGAAGTGGTGGAAGAGGGTCTACCAGTGTTTATGAAGAAGGTGAAAGTTTTGGGGAAAAAGCACTTGGGATTGAGACTCAATTTGTAACCCAAACAACACCTAATGTTGATAGTCAATTTGTCACCCAAACAGCACCTACTGTTGACAGTGAACATGTACCAGAAACACGGGAAGCAGATGTTACGATTGATGTTGAAGGTGATGGTCTTGATATGGCTGATCTGGATCAAATACTGCATGATTTGAGTTACCTTAGAAAGTCAAATATACTGAAACAGAGATCCTTTTGTGACTTAATATCACCCAATCACAACTTAAAGGATTTGATGCTTTGGTTCACTAATCCAAACAAGCTGCAAAGGTATATATTATAACATTGAGAGCGAATTTTATTTTTCAATAACATAACTAGCTTGAATTTTTTACCCCATGCAATGGTGTGCCTTTTGTGAGTGAACATGTACCAGAAACACAAGATGACAATGATGAAAACAAGAAGGAGAATGACTATGAAGATGAAGTTGAAGAATTACAGGAGGACAATGATGGAGATGGAGCTGAGGATGATGAAGGGGGAGTTTGATGATACTCAAGTTAGGGTTAGAAATCAAGTCAGGGTTAGAACAAGAAAACCTTCTGAAAGGATAACTGAATACATGTTGAAGAAAATTGTGGTTGGCAAGAAAGGAATAGGAATGGCTCCAGAAAAGCCTCTTACTTTGGATTAGATTGGTTAGGATTTAAGTAGTTATATGGGCTATTTGGGTAAATTTGTTAGGAAGCCCTTTTTGGTAAATGTGTTAATATGCCCTTTCTTTTGTAAACAATATACAATATGACCGCATTGTTAACACTTTCGTTGATTTTGGTATGTTTTGTTGATGTATAAGTTACATCCATTTTGGTCATTATGTTATACTAAAAAATATCATTCATTTGCTCACATCATACACTTACAATTGTACATTGCTCAAACAGTAGGTTACCATAAAACCATTTTTCATTCTACAACATACAACTTACATCCAACTGTCATTTAAGTAATCAAGATTACATTAATTGCCAAAACTTTTTACAACAACTTAAAACAACTTCAACATAATCCACACAATCACCAACAAACACAAAAAAAAACCCAAATTTCCATTTTTTCACCTTCACCTTGTATAAGAACCTTTTGAATGTCATTGTTGTGAAAATCCACAGCTTCTTCCACAAATTCGTCCACGAACTCATTGTGTACTTGAATGTCATTATTGTGAAAATCCATCAACATGTTTCTGTACCAGTTGTTTGGTAATGGGGGATTGACCAAAGCAAAATACTTGTAATCTTTTTCCTCATCCTGTTATATAGGAAATAAAACATAATTGGAAGAGATTTGAGATGTAATTAAAGAGGATTAAGGGATACTTACCCGGAAATTAGGGTAACTGATGAACCTCCTGCCAGGGTTTGTTGGCCTCCATGATGTCGACTGACCAACGGGATCTTCAAAAAATCATGTTGCCCTTAATGCTTGCCTTTGCGATCGGATATTGCTCCTGCTTCCCACTGAGTTTAAAGATGCCATTTTGGTAGAGTTTTGCTTCGATGGAGGGTCAGAACGGGTTTTTTACATAGGAGTGGGTGACGAGGAGGTTAGCGGAGGGTAATAAGGACGAGGCAGCTAGGTAACCGGCTAATACAAGGATTACAGGTTCGTAGGGCTAAACTGAGTGTAATAGTCAGTAATCTGTCCTTTTTCATAAGTGAAATTTAATTTAGGACTAAATCATAAACTGGGGCAAAACTTTGACACTTTTCCACAGATTTCCTTATATATATAATGATCAACAATTATACCAGATTATACCAAAACTCGCATCCTTTTATGCAGTTCAATTTTTTTAGACCACACTTTTTATCGAAAAAAACCTGTATACACCATTATTTTTTTTCATCATCTTTCCATTGATATCCATATTAATATATAAAAAATATATCCGTTTGTAACATTGTAGGAGGATATTTAATTTCTCTTTAAAAATATATCATATTCCATTATGTCATTCTATTTATATTTCCGTTTGTAACATTGCATATAGGCCTGATAATTAGTTTGTGTTCATGTTGGCGGGTTGGTGCGTCAGAATACATTAACCTAACTCAACCAATATAATATGGGTTGACGGGATGGAAACATCAACATAACCCAACCCACACAATCGTTTAAGTATATGAGTTTTGCGGGTTAGTGGATTTTCACTTCAAAGAGTTGACAGGTCATTTTCGGGTAACTATTCATATGTTGAATTTATATAAATAGTGCACGTCTCTATATTAATTAATAATTAGCATTTTACATTAACTAGAATAAAATGAAAAACCAAATAGCAATCTAACGTAATAACTTAATAAACGTTACATTTGAAAAAAAAAAAATAGGTTTTCAATGTTGTATGGTAACTATATTCTATTAATTAATAGATAAAATTATATATTTTTTTAAGTATAATATATATAGCCGGGTTGACGGGTTGACCCGTGAACGGTGAACACAAACAAGTAATTCAATCCGACTCATAAAATAAACGGATTGATGTGTTGGCAAGATGACGTGTCAGAAATCTCAACTTAAACTTGTTTATTTTCGTGTTAGGTACAATTATGAATTTGGTCAAGTATTGTCGCCCTTAATTGCATAATGTAAACTTTTAGCAATTTTATTTTTCACAAAATTAATTGTTTTTCAGACAATAAAATGAAAAGGTAATAAAATAAAAGCGTTTAATAAGCCATGAGAAGAAAAAAATAAATCATGATATAAACTCATATATAAAAAAGATAATTGTGCAAAAGTCATCCTAACAAGGATTCTTCCCCTTTCCCAAAGTTGACTGCAAATGGTGGGTTAGTTGGATCTTGATTTCTTTATTTCCTCAATACTTCTCTTTTGACCAGACATCCATGTGTTCTATAATTTATATTAACATTAAAATTTAAAAATTGAACAATCTTTTTAGTTGTCTCGTTCATATATTTTTTTTAACTAATTAAATCAGATATTTAAATATCTATTTTTGGAAACGTCAAAAATCATTAAAAGGTCAACGATTAACAAATAACTAAATCACGACAGAAAAACAATACAAAGAGAAAAAAATGAATATAAAAGTAAAACAAATTCCAAAGATAAATGTGTAAAAAATGAGCATATATATTCATTCAGCCCAGAAACCGCAACCATTGCTTCTTTTCTTCTATATTTGCACGATGGATCAGTGATAATGTCATCAATTGTCAATTTCATGAGAGACACGTTACTCCTTTTTATTGTTGCATTTCATAATTTTTATTGTAAAATTTCATTTATTATGATTTATTGCAATAATTTTAATTTTTTAAAAAGATAAATATATTATTAAACAAACAAACCAAATGTTGTGGTCAAAATTGTTAGGATTAACAAATATTGGCAATTTCTAGTTGTCTTATTTCCATGTACATCTAACCTTTAATTTCATGCATAATTTAACAACCAAATATATATGAATAATAACAAACAAGAATTATAACTTTTCCAAAAATAAAAGTATTGTTGATTTTATAATAACTAACAATAATACAAATTAGAATAAACATTATAAAATATATTTTATTTATTTAAAGTAAAGGTTAATAAATAATTATTTTTTACAAACAAAACTATTTTGACATACAAATTGAAAAGAAATAACCACAAAAAATAACGACATTTGGTAAAAGAAATAACCACAAAAATAACTGAGAAATATAAAAATAATATAAAATGACATCTAGAATATTTATTAGATAGTATTATAAAACAAATAATATATAATTAAATTAAAATAAATACTACAAAATAAAAGTTTTCCAATTAATTATATTTAACTAAGATTCTTGTGTCTAATATCAAATTCTTAATATTCTCATGCATTTATTGTCTCATGGGTGGGACTTTCGAATATTATCATGACTAAATTTAAATTTAAAATGTTCGTCTAATTTTTATATATTTTATATAAACATGTAATTATTTTATTATTGAAAATTATATATGTCGAAGTGATTCCTTCAATTTTAATTACGTAGGGTAAATGTCATCATTATGAAATCTATTTAAGTGATCTTAATTTCAAAGGTATTGTTGAGATCATTTTCAAATGTTTAAAACAACACTTTATCATATAACTTGATAAATTAAGTAAATACGAATAAACAATATTCACATAAATAAATATTAAAAAGAAAAACAAATGAAAAGATTAAACATATAGAAAAAGTGTTTCTAATATTAACAAAATAGATTAATACCTTAAATTGGTAAATATAATATAGGAGAAAAAAATGTAACATTTTAGATAATTATTTATACAACTAAAAGTAAAATTAAAATTAACTTTGAAGGGTAAAAGAATATATAATTAAAAAAAGATAAATTTATATTATTTTTAAATAAATTATATAAATTTATTGAAACATAATGTGAATAATTTTTTAAAAATAATTTTTAAGTTGAAAAATATACCTGACAAATAAGTATTTAAAACGTTAATTTAAAAATTAATTTTTAAATTGACAAATATAGCATTTGTGTAGATATATAGCCTTTATACAAAAGAAGAAAAAAAAAGAACCCGAAATTTTTAAACGAGGTCGGCACGATTTCGAAACGCAATTCTTATGGAGGGCAGCACCCATCTTCATACTCTCTATCCCATGTGTGACACGTGTCAAAATCGGGACCCTTAAAATGTGTCTCCGATTTTCTACCCCTCTCTCTAGCGCACGCTTGCTCTCTTCAAAAACTATGAATTTACATACCGGCGATATTCGTTCATCAGTTATTATTAACACAACCATGGCTGAGCCCTCAAAGCATCACTGAAACAGAACAAGTATTTTTTCTTCAAAAATACACAGGTAAGGATACAGCTATAAGTATAGATACAGGGAAAAGCAAGGATGTGGAGATCGTCATTTTTGCTGTTGAAAGAGGGCTTGTCGTCGGGGATTGTTAGGACTAAACCGGTTACGTATGGATTGAGAAGAGGTGTTTCCGTTGAATCTACTAACCGATTCTGTGGTTGTTTATTTTCGAGCTCGGCCGGCGGAGACGGCAGAGCAGGCGTAGGCGTAGGCGTAGGCGTAGGGAGAGGGGTTGATGATGGTGATAGTATATCGTTTGCGGAGGCGAAGAAGCTGATGAGATTGGTGAATGTGGAGGCAATGAAGATGAAGTTTTCTACGGAAGGGAAAGAGATGATTTCTTATTCAGAGCTTTTACAGGCTTGTGAGAATATAGGCGTTGCGAAATCCGTTGATGAAGCTAAGGCGTTTGCTAAGGTTCTGGATGAGGCTGGTGTTGTTCTTATCTTTAGGGATAAAGTTTACCTTCAACCTGAAAAGGTACAATCTACCATTCTTCTCTGTATATGAGTGAAAATTAAATTGAATTGGATCTGTATTGTTTCAATTTTTAGTGCCAACGTTGGACAATAGATGTTGATAGAAACACATTATCTGAAATGATGGATCCCAAATCAAAAGTGTATTGATCTAATGATGTTAGGGTTTTTTCCGGTGATAATTAGGTCGTGGACCTTGTGAGAAGGGCGGTGCCGCTAGCCCTAACAGCCGATGACGATCCGAGGAGGGAGGAGCTAAAGCAGTTACAAGCAAAGCAAGAAGAAATCGATCGGCTAGCCCACCGGCAGGTCCGCCGGATTCTGTGGACCGGGCTAGGGTTTGCACTAGCTCAAGTCGGGATCTTTTTCCGGCTAACTTTTTGGGAATTATCATGGGATGTTATGGAGCCGGTTGCATTTTTTGGTACAACAGCGGGACTAATCGTGGGTTATGCTTATTTTCTAATCACATCAAGAGACCCCACGTATCAAGATCTGATGAAGAGGCTGTTTTTGTCTCGTAGAAGAAAGCTGATGAAGAAGCATAATTTTGATTTTGAAAGATTTATGGAGTTACAGAAGAAATGCAGGTCGCCTTTAGATGCACATCCTTCGGCTATACATAAAATTGAAGGGGTGGAATTGGAAACTCAGGATCTGCACAAGCAATAACATAACTGGTTTGACTTTGTTTGACTATTGATCATTTCATGGGGATTATCATACCCACTAATTTTTTGACGTAAAATACCTGGACAAAATACAAAATGTTTCGATGATTTTTCCCATTTGTGGGTTATAATAATTATCTTTGAATTTCTTATTCCTAGTGTTTATAAGAGCATTGAAATGCATAATCCTTTTAGGTGAATGAATTGATTCATCGCAACAATCGTTATTTCTGAAGTTCCGTTGCAAGATCGTTGGTGAATTCCTCATCTGCTTACGGTTTTAGCTTGGGTGGAGCCTCTTTTAGGTGTTTATATAAGCTCTTCAATGATGATTTATACTGTGACTAATATTTTTGTCATCTACTAATTTAATTAGTCGTTTTTAAACACTTTATATTTTAATATGGAGTATATTAAATACTAGTAAAATGTTGTGATTGGTAGCCAAATATTTTGATTTTCTTTTTGTAACAGGGAAATTGACATGCCTGATATACTCGGTGTAAATTAGGAGTGACAATTTATGACAGAACACGACAAAAATACACGAAACGAAATGAAATTGGGATGAAACTGAAATTTGAATTTGTGTTGGTGTTAACAGTAAAAACCACTATGTTGTGTTGTGTTCATGTTTAAAATTCGATACGAAATTGATACGGTTTAGTAGTTATTTATCGTGTTTTTCGTGTTTGTCATGTTTTTCGTGTTATGTTTGATAAAGGATTCATTAAATAAACATATTTTTAGTAGATTGTAATATTTTTCGTGTCGTGTCGTGTTTGTTGTTTTTTAATTTGTTCGTTTTCGTGTTAGTTAGAAAAAACACAGCATCGTGTTGTATCGTGTTCGTATTACATAAAACTGTGTCGTGTCGTATCAGACAGAAACACGAAACGATAACACGATTTGTCATCCTAGTGTAAATACTGGGTAAATGTGAAAACTTGATGTCCCAAGCAAATAACTAAGATTGGGGTTGGAATTTGCTTATATGGAACATTTTATGATTTGTTCTAAAAAAAGTATTTTAGCGTATATTTAAAAGTTTTTATTTTCTAGTTTCTAACATTTGATAAAATGATCTGTTTTGAAAAAAAAAATCTCGTTTGGCAGTACAATCTTTTACTGTTTGGTTTTAAAAAATTAATTAAAAAAAAAAAATTTATAAGTTATATCACACAACTTTTAACAAAACGTTATTAACTACCAGCTAATTTTGTCGAACACCTCCTAAATGTTTTAGCTTTATGGGGTATATAAGGTTTTTTGTTAGCTAAAAACGTCTCCAATTCTACTGTAATTTTTTTATACAAAATGAAGGAAAAATGATATAAAGTGTTAAATCTTTATTCTGCTATATTTAAAAAATAAAAAAAATAAAAAAAATAAAAAAATCTTTCTAATATATTCTTTTTTTATAACTTACATACTTGGTAAAAAAATACTCATTTATTAATTAGTTTTTAACAAATATTTATTTTATCTTTTATATCACAATAATTTTATATGGTATATTATCACAAATTCTTAACCAAATAAATTATTTATATAGAAGTAACTTAAATTAACTATGATATTTTTAAACTTTATGTTTGGGATTAATCAACATATCCTCTTTAATAAATGAAGGTTTTTTTGCCACATGTCATCTTCTCCTTCATTTTGACACTTGTCATTTTGTGGTTATTTTGAATTAATTTTTATTCCATATGTAATTTTGTGGTTTTTCTATTTTATTAAATTTCATATGGTATTTAAATTTAATAATAAATACATATCAATTTCATTAATGGACTTTCCTTATAATTTCAAATTTTAAAAATAAAATCTCATTAATTTGCTTTGATTATTTTATCTAAATGGTTTGTTTAAATTTAAAAGAGAAAAAAAAAAGCACTTTAATTTTAGTAATTCAATATTTTTCTCATTTTTCTTATAAATTCAAATTTCTTAAATTTATTTTCCACTTGTCATTTTTTAGGGATTTTCATTTTCTTAAAATAAAATTCCATAAAATTGTAATGGGTTTTATAAGGAAATAAAATCATCCTATTAATTTGGTAATAAATTCTCATAAATACTTCAAACGATTTAATATCTTTTGCAAATTTTCAGAAAATTACATTATGTTATGTAAAGTATTATATTTTAAAATATTTCATATTTATATATTGATATTAAATTTTTATTTTTAATAAACTCGCATAATACACGGGTCTCACACCTAGTAGGATTTAATATATAACATTATATTATATAACAACTACTATATTTAAATTATATCTAGTCAGATTAAAATAAATTAGAAATATATAAACAAAAAATATCTTAAAAAATAATAAATAAATAATTGAATAAAGTAATAAATAACTTATAAGAATAAGGAATAAAATTGACAACCAGCTTCCTTTTATTTTGGTTTAAATGATCGTATTACTTAATATAAAATAATATTATTTATTCACACCAAAAAGTGAAGAATGAATTAAGGTTGGAGAAATATGGAATGTGAAATGGAATGGGAAAAAAGATTTGAAGTGAAGTTGAAGCTGTCTTAACACTTAAGACTAAAGGGTATACCCCTACAACACCACGCCATTAAAATTACCACAGTTGAAGGTCTCTTGTGGTGGAAATCCACCATGCCCACACTCTTTTTTTTTTTTTTTTTTTTTGCTTCATTCCTTGTACAATTCAAGTTTCTTTAATATAAAAAGTGAGAATTCGTTATTTCCTATATAAAACGAAACACAAAGGAAATGAAGTGATGGCGGAGAAAAAAGTAGTAAGAAATATGATAAACCACACCTCTTAATCTTATATGATATCAAAACACAATTAAGATAATAAGTTGTTGTTTGAGAAATTAAGATTATACATGTAAAATAGTTAAATACCAAAAATGATACATTATATATTATTGACTTGATTTTTTTTTTAAATCTCCAATAAAATCTCAATATTTTTGATCAATTTACGGTTTAATCCTAAATTATTACTTTCTTTACACTAAGTGACAACTTACCAGCTTCGAAAAAACTATTTTTGATTGGTTTCACATGTTTAGCTTTAGTCTGTATCTCGTCTTTTTTTTTGTTAATTTAATCAAATTATTGAGATTTTTATAAAGATTACGTTAACTTTAACCAATAATCAAAATATTGAAAGTTTTCTAAACATTACCTGATCATTTATAAACCTGGCATATTTTTTTTTAATTATAAACAAAAGAAATACAATTGTTGCTAATTTCTAAACAATCCTCAATTATATTTAGGAGCTTTATAGTACTTAATATTAGGGAAAAAGACTCTTAAGGATAACCAATTGTTGCTTAGTTCTTATTTGGTTCATTTCCTTTTTTTTGTACTAAATATATCATTAAACTTGTTGTTTGTGTTCACCATACCCCTTTTGACTGGCTTTGTATTTGTGATAGCCGGTCAAAAGGTTATAAGGAACACAAACAACAAGTTCAATGGTATATTGAGTACAGAAAAACAAAAAAACAAAACAACAAAACAAAACTAACTGAGAACAAATGCAATAGTTGGTTACCCTGTTGATTCATTTTTCCTTTACTCATTTACACCAAATCTCATGTCATTTTCTGCTGACATTAATGATTTTATGAGATTCATTCTTTTTCCTCTTCAAAACATAACCCACAAAAAAACATTATTCATATATATATAACTTTGCAATGCACTTGAATAGTTATTAGGGAAATATTGATTAACCAGGTACATTTCATGACTACATTTACATTTTCAATCAAATGGTTTATCGTATCATTGATTCTATAAAAGTCTACAAACAAGTGGAATATTTTTGAGTTGACCTAGCTTTAAGATCGAATTCGTGGGATAAGATACAACATTAATATGTACAATATCATGCAGCTTTTGCAGACACATCACCATAATATACCTTGAGGTAAACGTTTATGCTGATAAATATACCTCTCATACACAATCATTACACAATCATATCCTTTTGCAGAGAGGTGTTGACAACTAACCACAATAAACATAACATAGACCATGTTTTAACGAAGTTACCCTTCCGAAACGCTCTTCATATACGTTATGACCAAAGAAAGCTGCAGTCTTTGATAATTTTGTAACTTTAATTTCATTTAACTTTTCGAGGAAATTGACTCAGGAAGGTAACCAACTATTCAGTTTGTTCGTATTTGGTCCTTTTTTTGTACTCAATATATCATCAAACTTGTTGTTTATGTTCATCATAACCATTTGATCGGCTATCACAGATCAAAAGCCGATCAAAAGGGTTGTGGTGAACAAAAACAACAAGTTCGTTGGTATATTGAATTAAAAAAAAAAAAAAAAAAAAGTGACCAAATGAAAACAAACACAACGGTTAGTTATCCTCAAGAGTCATTTTTCCTATTATTATATCAATTGTTTAAGTTGGCAATTTAGAGTCTCCATAGTCTAGAGTCTTTGTGTTGATCTTGTGTAAAGCAGATAAAAAATGTAAGTGAAGTGAACACAACAGACAGTTAACATCTACATATATAAATAAATATAATATAAGTATACATATGTATTTGACGGTATGTCCACTTTAGCATGGTCTTTTATTGTTTTTTCACGTAACAATTTATATAGGGATAATGACTTGAAAGGGTAACGAACTTTCGACTTTTGTCACATTTAGTCACTAAACTTTTTTTCGTTATCTATTTGTCATTGAACTATTGAAACTGTTCACATTTTACCCTTATGACCGGTTGTTATCGGTCATAAGGGTAAAATGTGAACAGTTTCAATAGTTTAGTGGCAAATAGATAATGAAAAAAAGTTTAGTGACTAAATGTGAACAAAATCGAAAGTTTGTTTCCCTCTAAAAAGTTCAATGACTAAATGTGAACAAACTTTCTATTGTATTATGTTTTAGCAAAATTATTTATTTTTGTTTAATTCTAGCAACATTTGTTGATGAAGAAATCTATGAAATAAAAAAACAAAATATAACATCCAAATTTCCAGGTATCATCATTTAAATATTTTTGTTTTGAGTTAAGAAGACAGACTCGACGAGTTGATGCCTCAACTCGTCGAGTAAGGTCGCGACTGATGACTCGGATTAATGAATGGACTCGACGAGTCCGCGACTGATGACTCGGATTAATGAATACTTGTTGTCTATGATGGATGAACGATTTTATACATGTTTTAAAAGATTTAAACAGTATATTTATTTTATATCTACAAATAGGTTGCGGATGAAACATGGGTAGATGAAATAGTTGGTGTGTGATGAAATAAAATGATGAGAGATAGATGGTGATAGAAAGGTGGTGATAATTAGGTAAATAGATGATGAATATGTAATGTAGGATGAAATGAGATATCATAACCTTAACCAGCAATGTGGCGATGTAGTCATCTACCAGAGTATAGATGGTGACCACGGACTATTCTAGACAACCCAGTGGAAACACCAGCGGGCCCATAACCTGTAGGTGATGAATTACGAGTTCAGGCGATGTTGTAACTACGTATTCATTTGATGATACTCTAACCTCTTACTATGAATTACGAGTTCAGACGATGTTGTAACTACATATTAATGGGAAGTCATAAATTTCGCCTGGTAAACCAATAGTCATAATTCACATCAGTGAGAATGGTTTATTTTTTGTAAAACCAAAATCAGATTGGAAACTTTGATTTTTTATTTTGGAAAATATCAA